CCCCCCTCCAGTTTGTTCCCCTCTCTCCAGGCACAGCTCATCCCAGGAGTCTCACAACCCTGGACCAGCTACCAGCCGGATGCCTGAAGCAACCTTCACTCCCACGGCCACTGGCCTGAGACAGGAGGACCCACCCACGATCGAGATGCCTGAGTACATGAGAACTTGGATGGAGCAGGCTATTCAACAGGGGATAGCTCAAGGCATGCAGCAGATGGCCGGATCAAGCCTTCCTCAGACGGTTCCCGCGCAAGAACCGATGCCAACTAGGTCCATGCCCGCCCTGGACCCTGCTCCTGGTCAGGTACCCTCCCGGGGGGCCAGCCCTCTTCCAGAAAGGGAACCGGAGGAGGGAATGGAAATTTTAGACCAATACAGGGAGGAGGAGGAGCACCTTGAATGGGGATCCACCTTCCATGGGGAACCCTTTTCAGATTTAGACCTGATGGAAGCAGAGTTGTCGGAGGACGAGGGCCTTACCCCCGTCCAGCGTTCCTTTGTGGGGTTATTCAAGCCCCACATGTTTAAGTCCATCTTGTTTAAGGCCAAGAACACCTCGGGCCTGGCCACTCAACTTCCCCCTGTCCCCCACTCCTCTGGGGAGGAACCGGAGGACGCAATGTTCAAACAGCCCGTGGTGGCCGAGGATGTGATTCCCGCTCCTCCCATTTTCCACGATCTGGTTTCCAACCAACTGGGTTTTACGGGGGCTCCTCCGGCCCCATCCACACAGGATAAGAGGTTCTTTAACCTCGAACCGGGTTTCTGCTCCCTCCTCAATACCCCGGAGGTGGACGAGCCCATTGTTGGTCTCGCCTCTTTCTCCTCCCCGAGTGACCCACTGGAGGCCCTCAAACCCGAGGATAGGAGGTCTGAATTGGCCTTGCGGCGGGCTCATCTAGCCGACGCCTGGGCAATTAGATCGGCCACCGCAGCCTCCTTCTTTACCAGGTCCTCTATCCGGTGGCTCCGTCAACTGAAGGCCCACATCCCTCCATCCAATACACGGGCGCTGCAGGACATTGCCAAAATCACAGCGGCGGCAGAGTTCTCAGCGGACGCCACGTACCATTCGGTTAAATTCGCCTCCCGGGCGTTAGCGTCCCAGGTCACTGCCCGCCGCCTGCTCTGGCTCAAACCATGGCAGGCGGACGTGAAGAACAAGGTCAAGCTGGCCTCCGCCCCCATTAGAGGGGAGAAGCTCTTTGGGCCGGCCCTGGACCCTCTCTTGGCCGAAACTAGGGGAAAGAAGAAATTCCTTCCTCCTCTTTTTCGGAGGCCTGACTCCCGAGCCCCTCAGACCTTTCGAAGAGGATCCTCCCGGTCCTTCTACCAGTCCCCCTTCCCCCCCAGGTACCCGAGACCTCCCTCGTATAGAGCATCATATTCCCAGGATCGTTCCGACCCGAGCGATCGAAATAGGAGGGGCGGAGGATTTAAGCATCCCTTCAGGGGTTCCGGGGGGAGACCCTTCCGGCGCTCCAAATGAATCCTCTCTTTTTCCCCCCATTGGTGGTCGGCTGAGGCATTTCGCCGACCTGTGGGATTCTACCACTTCCGACAGATGGGTCAGGGACTCCATCAGGTTTGGACTCGCTCTGGAGTTCAACTCTCAACCTCCCGAGTTCTTCATGTCATCTCTCTCCTCTAGGGACCCCTCCAAATGCAAATTAATGGATGCGGCCATCCATCACTTACTCTCCATCCAGGCCATCCAGCCAGTTCCCCCCTATCAGCGAGGGCAGGGTTTCTATTCCCACCTCTTCGTGGTTCCCAAGTCCTCGGGAGGATGGAGGGCTATCCTGGACCTCAAACGGCTCAACCGCTTCCTAAACCCCCGCAAATTCAAAATGCACACCCTCCAATCCATTTTGCAGGGTACCAGGCAAGGAGATTGGCTATCTTCTATAGACCTCTCTGAGGCATACCTCCACATCCCAATTCGGCCTTCACACTCTAAATTCCTTAGATTCTGTTACAATCACCACCATTTTCAGTATGTGGCCCTTCCCTTTGGGTTAGCCTCCGCTCCCAGAGTTTTCACTAAGATCCTCGCGGCCCTGGCAGCTCGCTTAAGGGACTGCCCGGTCCGTCTCCACTGCTATCTGGATGATATCCTCATCCTGTCCCATTCACAATCCCAAGCAGAGCGGGACACCAAGACTACTCTCTCCGCCCTCCATGCCCATGGTTTCCTGGTCAACCAAAAAAAGAGCCAACTGGTCCCTTCTACCCGAATTGCCCACTTGGGGGCCATCATTGACACGGTGCAGGAAAAAGTGTTCCTTTCCCCGGAAAGGCTTCAGAGTATTCGAAATTCAATTCAGGTTATTCGCCGATCAAAGAGGGCTTCTCTGTTAGATTTATCTAAATTACTGGGAAAAATGGTTTCATGCATCTCTATTATTCCTTGGGCCCGTCTTCATACCAGGTCCCTGCAGTGGCTCCTGCTTCCGTTTCAAAGGTCCGGCAGAAGCAACTCAAAATCCTCCATCAAGGTACCTCCAAAGGTCCTCTCGTCTCTCCTCTGGTGGACCAACCCTGCCATCAACAGGGGTCATCTCTTCAAAGATCCCCAGCGTCTCGTCATCACCACAGACGCCAGCCTGAGCGGCTGGGGCGCTCACTTCCAGTCCCTTACA